ACACATTCAAGTAAGCTGAATTATCTAGAATTTAGCCACCCCTAAATGGCAAGCCAGCTTTCCCCCAATCTACGCACCATTCTTCCCTGATAAGATTTGTGAAAAATAGCTGGGTAACTACTTCTGTTTTCTCTTCACCAGGTTGATTCGACTTTGCTTCACAAAGATTTGTGGCATCAGGTAAGTAAGAGGGTTTGTTTGTTTGTTTGAATCATTCTGTTGGGAGAACTCTGTTCATTGTATAGATCATCTTAAAAAAAAAAGAATGAAAAAAGAAATGTTGCTTTTATAAACACTGAAACCTATCAGGAAAAAAAAAAAAAAGTGATGCTGTCTATAAATGTGCCAAAAACTATCATCTCTGTATATTACCCTCACTAGGTATGATTTTTTAATATTAACTGAAATGAAGAAAGAGATTTGGAGAAGAGTATCCATTAGATTACCTTAATTAAGCATTATGGAACATGCTCTTTAAACTATCAAGTGTAATTGTGTACTGTAATTATTTGATATAAATATTGTATGGTTTAAATTACCAATTTGTTACTTAACCAGTTTAATTTTCTCTGGAAACCAACCCCCCGCCATCTAAAGCTGCAAGATAATGAAGGGGAAGTTATGTTAGTCATACTCTTATAAATAAATATTTACACCAGGAAAAACTGCCACAAAGAACCACAAAATTCCTACTCAATTTGTAAAACAAAACAAAACATCTCAGCAACGTATTTATCAAAGTGTGTTGATTTGGACATTATATTAAGGTTAATCCACCCGTTGGGGGGAGATGGGCGGCGTACAAATGTATAAATAAATAAATAAATAATCAATCAATCAATCAATCCAGAAATACATCTCCACCTGGAAAGATGAACAGGCAATGCTGCCATAAAACGTTCACCTGGAAAAAAAAGTTGCTTATCAATAACACTTCCAGACATCATTCTTCTGTCCTGATTCAAATCTTTATTAGGACTCAAATGGGTAGAGATGCTCTAGCTGAAATTTTTATTAGGCCCAGATGTCCTACTATCCAAAAAAACAAAACAAAACCAATTGATTACCAATCACTTGCCATGATATTCTGTTTCATAGCTTCAAAAGCACATCTCTTTGGAACAGGAAAAAGGACCGAGCTTATACAAGTCCTTTCCTGCTTTCACAGATCAGACTGGAAAGAGTGGAAGAAATGCCTCAAATCTGCTAACTATTAAAAAAAACCTGAAAAGCCACATAATTCTCATAATCACGGGACAAAACAACTAGCAGGACCGAAAACGGTGAATCGAAGAGTCAGGAAGTGGTACAGCGGTACCACTGTGAACCCTTCTGTCTCTCCTTTGCATGTGTTCACAGACCCGAAACTGGAAGCAGTACTGGTCCAGTGGCAAGACCCACGGGGGAGGAAGAACGCTCCCCAAAAGGTGATACGTGTCTTTTCCTTACTAGTCTCTCAAGGCGAAGTCTAGACTCTTTGGGATATAAAAAAAAAAAGTTATAAATTCCCAGATTAATGGGGCCAGTAAGTATTGAAGCCCTCTCTTTCTGAAGATGGCATTCCCTTAAAAAAAAGTAATCTAAGAGTGTGGATTGAACAATGCCTAAGTTAAAACTTTACACAGTCCCTTGAAAAAGACCTATCTTGAAAAATTGTAGAAGTATCTGCTTACCTAGTGGCACGAGGCTTAATCAGCTGGGGTTACTAGGTTCTCAGTGTCAAAATAATGTAGTCCCTGAGCCATCTTGACAAGTCAGATGCCTTTTTGTGACAGTATATATCTTTTCAGTGAAGTATTTTCAACTAATGTCTTTGTATAACAGCTATAAAGTTCAGTATTAAAGGTATTGTTATTGGAAGGCATAACAATACCTTTGATATTGAACTTTATAAGTTAGGATTAATTTACCCCATCCAAATACAACAGAATTTTTTGCATTTATACCTGTTATTTTCATGCAGTGAGCAAAAACCACATAAAACTGCCTCTGCAAGGCCCACTGTAAATAGAATTTGGGCATAAATTAAGGGTTGATGGGACTCGGGCTTTAAAACATTGTTAGTTTTGCTTTCAGAATGTTTTGCCTCTTTCTATTTTAGTGTAACATAACTTGCAGAGAGGAAGAGAGATAAATATGATGTATCTATAGTTTAGTAGTATAGTTGAGTGGCGGCTACATTAGATATGCAAAGTTTCTGTGGTAGACAGTCCCAATTATTATGAACACACAAGAAGCAGGCAGTGAAGTTCAAAAGATTGTAACTTATGTACATTAGGTATGTTTGGAAGCCTTAATAATAGAAAAATACTCCTTTATTAAGAGTGCAGGTATTATATTTGTCCCTTAAAAAAAAGAGTCCTGGGATAATAATCTGGGGTGGTATGATAGTACTTTACATATACTTATTTTATTAGGTAATATTATTTAGGTTACATACATACTATAGCTTCTGAGGGAGGGAAATTTTTATTTGCTCAAAAAATCACCATTTTGTCATTAAATTGCTTTACTTCTATTGGGCAGTGCTTGAAGTGGGAGAAATAAGTATATGGGGTAGTTAGTCCACACTCAGCTATGTACACTTGAAAATAAATCGATTTGGGGATAGGTTCCGGAAGGGAAATGAGATGGCATCCATTCCACTTTGAGCTTTGTTATAGGATTTAAAAACATTTCTCCATTCTCCATTTCTTAGAAGTAAAAACACATGAATTGGGAAGATTTCTGAAGAAAAACAGAAATATTCTTACAGTTGCATTTCACAAAAATGCTTGAAATAAGCCAATTCCAAATAATGGATTATGAATCGTCTTAATATACTATAGTCAAGATTAACCCCAGATTGTCAGAATATGAAATGGTGATGAAGACTTCTAAACTGCTTACTGGAGAATATTTAATCCTAGACTCTCTCTTGCTTGTTCCCATCACAGGTGCAAGTGAAGATGCATGCTTTATAAAGAGACAGGCAACTTCCCCAAAGAGTGATGTGTGCATGGTGATGATCCCACCATTAGGAATCTGAAATGCCTTTTAGATGCATCCCCAAAATGTAAAAATTCAAACCAATATGAAAACTGTGTACAATACGCATGTTAGTTGCCCAGTACACACAAGACCTTTGAAATGAAGAAAACATTACAGGAGGCGATACCTGTTATTCGCTTCCAAAGGCATTCAAGAAATAATCCTTATAACAGATTAGAGACGTGCAAAACTTTACACCAGCTGCCGAACAAAAAAGGGATCAAATGAAATTGGGCATGGAACTCCAACTCTGGCATGTACCTTGGGGCTTGCTTGTGCATTTCCTGTTAAATACGTTTCAAATGTCCACTGAACATTTAGTTTATTACACTTCTTTTAAAAATCAGAATATATAAAAATCTTTTACTTCAACATATTTCAAATGGTCATATTTACACTTCAATTTTAAAACAAATGTCAGTGAAAAATACAGCTCTGTCACCACTGAACAATTTAGGATTAAATTAAAAAGCACATATTAAAGCAGAAAATTTTCTATGACTGTGAATGTATGAGAACACAGCAGAGCTGGGGGAAAACAGCATAAACTTCCAAGTTAAAACTTCTATTTAAAAGAAAACACAAACATAGTATCAGAAATGTTTGGCTTTCAAATAATATGATTTTTCTTAAGTGTAAAATCTACAACTATGAAAAATAATGTACAATACATCTGGAGAACAACTTCAGATAAGGGTTAGTGTGCCCTAAATAGATATTTCACCAAGACAGCCTTTACTGAAAGACATCAATTATGAAGAGTTGAAAAACATCAATTGTGTGTGTGTGTGTGTTTCAACATTGTTACTAGGCTACATAATAAATACAAGCTCTGAAGAGAACTGAGTGTGCAAAGCAACTGTGGCCTACAGGACAGTCTATCAAATAAACAGGAGTCACCACTTCAGAAAACAGTAGTGAAGGACAAAAGTAACCCACATCTCCAAAACCGAGAAATGCACTAGAAAATGTGGGTGCTTGTTTCTACAACTTGTGCTAGAAAGTGACAACAGAAAGAACACAGGTCACTTGCTTTAAGTGCTAATATAGACAAGCTGCTTTTTGACTGTTAGGAAGGATAGTCCTGTTTGAAAAGTTTGCAGAGATTTCAGCCAGCAACTTTTAAAACTTCTCAGTTAAAAGAGAGAGAAAGCCTTCATGAGTTTTGGTCCAAAACATTATTTGCTTCATAATGCTGATGACTTTTGGGAGGACAACTGCTATGCAAGCTGTAGAAAATATTCAGATCTGGTTCCACGTCTTGCTTGGACATTAACAAGGTAAAAGCATGTGTATTGCTGTATATTGTTTTTGGTCTACATGCAGTGATGCATTTCTCATTATGGGAATTATTTATATGCTGAGGATGGAATGAACCCTATCAAGGACAGCCAGTCTCTGCAAAAGAAAGCCATTAGTGGCTTGATCAATACAAACATTATTTTTACTTGCTAAAGATAAAAGGGACAGACATGCTTTCTTCCCAGAAAATTCAATGTTTGTTTTTGCTAGGCAGTAGAAAACTAAATCTTTGTCCTTCTGTTCCTTCCTGGATACCAACATATATAGGACACCGAAGAACTAGTTCTGCAATTCCTGCCTGTTTTTCTTTTTTTGGGGTGGGGGGGTGGGAGAGGGTGTATGTCTGTGTGTGTAGAATTCCAGTTAAATTGTCTCCAGTAATCATGCTCAATTTAAGCTACTACATTTACACATATCCTATTAATATCTTGTCCAGGACAAAATATAATTTGAAATGTGGCATAACACTTCTCACAGTTGAACAATCTCCACTGAAGCCCTTCATCCTCACTAGTTTCTTCTCCAGCTCTGTCTGCTGCATTTTTGTGTCAACAATACATTACATAAAGAGAAACATACATTCTTATTTACATGAACATTCTTGTAACCTAAAATTAAGTCATCTACAATACTCTAATCAGCAGTTGTCATGGATAATAAAGAGAAACATACATTCTTATTTACATGAACATTCTTCTGAACAGGTATCAGAGTCCTTCACCTTGCTTTTCACAGTTGTAAACAGCAAATCATCTACAATACTCTAATCAGCAGTTGTCATGGATACCATGTAAAGCTCAGCAGTGTTGTTTATGAACATGTCCAATTATAGGAACTCCACATAGTTCTCAGGAATCAATCCTATTTTCCCATTCAAGGTTCCTTCCAACCAGCCAGGTTCTTGAGATGGATGAACTGGAAAGAGATATGCAGGTTATTAAATCTATAAAGCTGAGATTTTGAAACAAAAATGGAATTTTGCCATATACAGTACATGTACATTTGTTGTTTTGAGCAGCTGAGGAAAGAAGCAGGGATAGACACACAACACCATTTTGTCATGGTGGTGACCCTTGGAGCTTTGTACACTGGGGTCTACAATCCAATTCACCCCTGGGTGAATATGTTCTTTCTCAGCTCTCAAAAACTATATCTTCATACAGGAAGGCACAGGTATTCTGGTGATTCATTAGTCTATACTTTTGCATCCATCTGAACTTGTAATTCATACATGACTCTGACTTGCCTTTTAGAATGGCCTCAGAGGCCAAAGCATACCTAACAGGCATGCAAGCTTGCAGAGGTTTTCCAGATGTCTCTTTTTGTCCACCAGCAGAATGCTCCACCTACTGGCTGGTTTCAGAATCTAAAAATTAAGTCATATCTAAGCAGATAGTGAAGAACCACGGTTTCTCATTTGAAATGAACACTATTACCAATATGGCTGTAACATGAACTCATCAGTGCTATTATAGTCTATGGGGCAGTTTGTTTTCCATAGAAGACATTTGTTTCTCCTCACCTCACCTCACCTCACCTCACCTCTCTGCATGTGTGGAGTTTCAACATTACATTTTTACCTGAAACCAGGACAAAACAACATGTACAATTTATCTTCCCTCTACTCCCCCACTTCATAACACTGTAGGGTTTTCCCCTACCTTAACAGAGCTGTTTCCTAGTACTGATGGATGTACTGCTTGTACCTAATTTTCTCTCATTTCTCATTAATACTACTCAGAAGGATTCCTCTTCAACGTGAATGCCCTATCAGCAAGCTGAAAGGGAAATGACTCAAGGGCTTCCAGGTGGAGGTTTATTAATATATTGCCATGTCCTAATGCTCCCACATCCAGAGTTTTATGTACATTTCTTACAATCAACCAGCTTTCCCTAAGCAAATTAGTGCTATAAAAATGTAGCACATATGAATGGTGATGGGATTGGTGGGGAAGGAAAATGTTAGCATTTTATCGACTTTTTGTAGATGGGAAGATAGTGTTACTGTTGTTGTTAAGTCATAACCAGAAAGGGTTAGATGCAGTGGAGAACATTCTGTGAGTGGGTGTAAAGGACACTTAGTGATTGGCCCACAAGCTCTCATGATCATCATACAGTGACAAAAATATAGGTATGCCCACAATAGAATGGCTATGAATACCAGCATTGTTCTGAAAAGGCAACAAAAAGGATTGCAATTTCATTTAAACTGATTTGTAAAGATTTGGGAAATGAACAGGAGGTGATCTGGAACACCCCATAGATCCTCTATTGTTAATTGCCCCATGATTGTAGAACTTCCCCCCAATTATTTGCTATACTTTCTCTCTTTCCATCTTTAGTTGCGTGATGAAGATGTACAAGAACATGCTTTGCCTCTGAAGTGAATTTGTGGGAATAGATAGAGTAACGGTGGAGAAGGGGAAGGGACCATGTCTTCTCTCTTTCTACTACTCAATGTTTTGTTGATTTACAACCCTATTTCTCAGCCTGGATCCAAAATCAGAAGACGAGCTGAGAAAAAGCTTTATATAACAATAGAGTGCAAGTTGGTAAGGAAATGGAGAAGATATTTCACTCCTTATTCCTGTCCATAACTTGAATTCAGTCGTTACCATCCTATTTTCATTTTACAGCTGAACCACAAGCACAAATTTATTAAATATTAAACACATGTTTCTGTTGTTTGGCATGAGTGAAGTTTACACAATTTATAGCTGTACTATAGCTGTACAGAAAGTTTCTTCTGGTTTTCACATGTACAATTAGTATAAAGATTTAAAGTTGATAAAAAGACATGGTTTAGAATGTGATAAAAACATTTGAAATTGAGTTATGTACTAATTATGAACATCTTATTGCTAAAATGTG